GTAGCTGGGATTACAGGCGCATGCCACCACACCCGGCTAATTTTTGTATTTTTAGTAGAGACTGGGTTTTGCCCTGTTGGTCTGTCTGGTCTCTAACTCCTGACCTGAGGTGATCCACCCACCCTGGCCTCCCAAAGTGCTGGGATTATAGGCGTGAACCACCACACCCGGCCAGTAGAACTTTCAGAATTGGAGTTAGTCCTCTCAAACCCTGCTGCTTTGTCCATTAAGTTTACGTAATATTTTAAATCTTTTGTTGTCATTTCAACAACATTCGTAGCATCTTCACCAGGAGTAGATTTCATCTCAAGAAACCACTTTCTTGTCTAGAAGCAGCAGCTCCTCATCTATTAAAGTTTTATCATGATATTGTAGCCATTCAGTCACATCTTCAGGCTCCATTTCTAATTCTAGTTCTCTTGCTATTTCAACCACATCTGCAGTTAGTTACATCCCTCCATGAAGTCTTGGATCCCTCAACATCAACCTTGAGAGTTGGAATCAATTTCTTCTAAACTTCTGTTAATGTTTATATTTTCACCTCCTCCCATGAATCACAAATGCTCTTAATGGCATCTAGGATGGTGAATCCTTTTCAAAAGATTTTCAGTTGACTTTGCCCAGATCCATCATAGGAATTGTTATCTATGGTACCCATAGCTTTACAAATTTTTTTTTTTTTTTCGAGATGGAGTTTTGCTCTTGTTGCCCAGGCTGGAATGCAGTGGTGCAAACATGGCCCACCACAGCCTTGACCTCCCATCCTCCCTCCTCAGCCTCCCAAGTAGCTAGGACTACAGGGGTGCACCATCACACTCAGCTAATTAAAAAAAAATTTTTTTTTAATAAAAGTGGGGTCTGACTGAGACAGCCAGGTGTGGGTGGGGGGCCCTGGAGAAACTCCAACCAGCCTGCCCACTGAGGTGGAGCCTCGGGAAGTTCATGACATTCGCAGCAGGGAGGAACCTGGCCCCTCCTCTAACTGTGTGGAACCTGAGATTTGAAGGGTGGGCAGGAAGCGCTCTAGCGCTTGACCTTGGGATTCTGACCTTGTGGAGGATCCCTATCCACCCCCCCTCCTTTTTTTCCCTTTTTTACTCAATAGAACCCTATTTTACTCATCCTTTAAACTGTCTGTGAGCCTAAATTTTCGTGGCCGTGGGACAGACAAGAACCCCATCTTTAGCTGAACTAAGGAAAGTCCTGCAACATCACTATGTTGCATAGGCTGGCCTTTTCTCTCTCTTTAAATGTAGAAGTTATTTAACATGATGTAGATTTTGAAAAGCAGGATGCTTCTTGGAGATTTTATGTTTGTTATTAAAGATGAAGAAAGTAGGGTTTATTATTGTATGAGAATAATTTTATCCATAAATAAAAAAATGCTAATCTGAAAAGTGTCATCATCCTATGAGACTGGATAAAAATAAGAAAAGATAACATGGTCTTATAAACAATTTTTTGGGTATTGTGCAAAGTTATAGATGAACTTCTAGTTCTTAGTATTGTTGGTTGATAGCTAACATGGCGCTTTAGACCAAATCGAAAGAGGACTGAGCATTGTGAA